AAGTGATACTGTGGTATAACCCTATGTTTGTATAAGTGATACAGAGGTATAAACTTATGTTTGTATGAGGGATACAGGGGAATAACCCTATGTTTGTATGAGTGTTACAGAGGTATAACCCTAGGTTTGTTTGTATAAGTGATACAGTGGTATAACCCTATGTTTGTATAAGTGTTACAGAGGTATAACCTTATGTTTGTATGAGTAATACAGAGGTATAACCCTATGTTTGTATGAGTGGTACAGGGGTATAACCCTATGTTTGTATGAGTGGTACAGAGGTATATCCCTATGTTAGTTTGTTTGTACAAGTGATACAGATGTATAACCCTATGTTAGTATGAGTAATACAGAGGTATAACCCTATGTTTGTATGAGTGATACAGAGGTATAACCCTTCGTTTGTATAAGTATTGCAGAGGTATACCCCTAGGTTTGTATGAGTGTGCCAAATTATAGGACTTAAGACACAAACAAACGAACAAAACTATTATCCCCTAACTGTGGTAATCGTAAATGTTGGTCTTACTATCTACGTCGGCCGGAGTCATCAGCTCATTCATGTCGGCGTCAGTAGGGTTAAACCCAATGTATCGGACCGCACGTTTGATCTCGTGTTTAGACATCTTCTGGTCGCCATTAGCATCGATTTTGCTAAATATTCTTTTGATTTCTAAAATTAAGAAAAAAAATATGAAAAAGTGTAATATGTGTTAATTGAAGTAAAACTTTCGTGGTAAAACATTGTTAGCGGGGTAGGATATACAGAGCATGGCAAAGGATTTGAGAGACTGTACATGATTTACAGAAATGAATGAGGCAGAGCATGGCAAAGGATTAGAGAGACTTTATAGGATTTAGAGAAACGAATGATGCAGATCATGGTAAAGGATTAGAGATACTATATAGGATTTAGAGAAACGAATGAGGCAGAGCATTGCAAAGGATTAGAGAGACTGTATAGGATAAAGAGAAACGAATGGGGCAGAGCATGGTAAAGGATTAGAGAGACTTATAGGATTTAGAGAAATGAATGATGCAGAGCATGGTAAAGGATTAGATAATAGGATTTAGAGAAATGAATGATGAAGAGCATGGTAAAGGATTAGAGAGACTGTATAGGATTTAGAGAAAGGAATGATGCAGAGCATGGTAAAGGATTAGAGAGACTTATAGGATTTAGAGAAATGAATGATGCAGAGCATGGTAAAGGATTAGAGAGATTGTATAGGATTTAGAGAAATGAATGATGAGGAGCATGGTAAAGGATTAGAGAGACTGTATAGGATTTAGAGAAAGGAATGATGCAGAGCATGGCAAAGGATTAGAGAGACTTATAGGATTTAGAGAAAGGAATGATGCAGAGCATGGTAAAGGATTAGAGAGACTTATAGGATTTAGAGAAATGAATGATGCAGAGCATGGTAAAGGATTAGAGAGATTGTATAGGATTTAGAGAAATGAATGATGAGGAGCATGGTAAAGGATTAGAGAGACTGTATAGGATTTAGAGAAAGGAATGATGCAGAGCATGGCAAAGGATTAGAGAGACTTATAGGATTTAGAGAAA